CTAAAAATTGTGTCAATTAAGACATCAATATCAATATTTTTTTTTATTTATGTGCACAAGTATATTTGTGTTCCCCCACCAGTACCATCAAGGGGTGTTTCATCATATTCAGTCATGTAGATACAAGCAGTCATCATAAACATATGTATTCGTTGCATTTAATCTAACATACTATATAAAACACACCAAATGTATGAGTAAATAGCTACAATATTCATAACAATATAATCAATAAAAAAAATATCATCTCAATAAAAATAAAACACACAAATATCATCAACTAGAAACATATTTGAGAATAAACAAACTATTATCATTGTTTAAAAGTACAAATACTCACCTCGACGACGCTTATTTTATTATTTTTCTTATTGTCAATTCTTCTAAAACCGTAAGCCTAAAACATGATATTAAATTTAACTAATTTATTATTTTTAATAAGCAATTTATCTTTTCATTATTTAAGTGTTAAATTTTGCTTTATGTAATCACACTTAACTTCTATTAATTTCTATTAAAAAATATATATATATATATATATATATGATTATTATTATTATTATTATTATTATTATGCATTAATATTAACCTAATTTAGCATAACCTACCTTTATTATGCCACAATGCTTGGCTAGGGCGTGATCGCAAGCAGGGACTTCACACGATAATTGAATCGCACACCCGAGAGCTCATTTGCGACTTCTTCCTCTCTTCCTCTTCTTCTTACATTGGCCTCGTATCCTCGACCCACGCGGAAACTCCTCCCTCTCGTCTTCCTTCACCACAAACAAGCCGCTCAACATAAAAGGTAAGTCGTTCAACAATTTATAGTGTGAAATTTCACCTCCTTAGTTTCCCGACACTTCTTGCTTCTTCTCCCCCTTCATTCATTTACTCGACCCCTCCTTTCCTCTTTCTCTCTTCGGTTGCCCAACCGTTCATTCCATCTTCCCCGATCCTTCGAATCCTCTCCCCCCTTGAAACGGAACTGTTACAATCTTTCTCACTTACAAAAATTTCGCCATCGAAATTTACAAGCAAACTTCAAGGAAGTCAACATTAACTATCCATAAAATTAGAGTCATTCATGAAAAGTAATCACTATAAAAATAAAGACTCGATACAAGGCGATTCAACTATACATAGATATTGAACATAAAAAATGTGCTAATAAAAACACCTAACTAATCAGATCTTTGCCACCAACAACAGCAATAGGTTCTTTAGGCTCACTATGAGTAAGGGAATATACCCGAGATTGAACTGGTTGTCTTATTTGACCTTGGGTCAAAGCTGAAGTTATAAACTCTATCTTTTTCTGCTCGTCTGCAAACTTCTGTGAAGGGTCTCCACCGGATTTCTAATCTTTAACGTTTTTCTGACCAAGACATGAACAATATCTTGTTATATGGTCGGGCTAACGACACTAATAGCAAGTGTTAGAGCCCATCAAACATTCAACTTTATATTGTCTTCCGCACTTAGCACAAGATGCTCCAGTCCTCTAAGTTACACCTCTGGTAACCACCCGAATTATTCTTGGCTTCTTCTCATTAGATCCTTCTGAGTGAGCTTTGTGTTCTTCTGCAGTCTTCCTCTTGTGTCTCTTTATGCTTCTAAGTAAGTTGATAGTCGATCTTCACTCTTCTAGCTCGTTCGACTAATGCCGTGTATTCATCAATCTCTAAAGGTACTAACGACTGTCTGATTGAATCATTTAATAATCTCAAAAGAAATTCATAGCACTTTTCTTATACAGTAGCAATCAATTGTAGTGCATACCTCGATAGTGCATTGAATTTCGTTTCGTACTGCATAACTGTGTTATTTCCTTGCCTCAATTTGATGAACTTGTTTTGCACCTGTCGTCGAGCTGATAGAGGTACTAACCATTCTTTGGATAATTCCACAAATTTCACCCAATTAACCATCATGTTGGGTATGTCCCCTAACCTGTGTTGACGCTGCCCACTCCACCATCTTTTGGCTTCTTCATCCAGCACAAATATCGCCAACAGTACTCTTCTTTCATCTAGAAAGGCAATGTTATCTCGTATCTTCTCTATCCTCATTGGTCAATTCTCTGCTTCAATAGTCTTTTGTTACCTTGAACAGAGCTGGAAGCAGAACTTGAAATATTTTCAAGTATTTATCCACAACAACTGTATTACTTCTGATATGTTGCAATCTAGACTCCTGAATCAATTGAGTCATCGTCATCATCATTTACGTGAGGATATTCGTGTTCACATTTATAGTAAGTTGCAATTCTTTGTTTTCTGTCAGCTTTTCTTCTTCTATGATTTAAGTGTATCACTGTCTGAATGGATAATTATTACTTTGAGTTAACCTTAATTTTTTTTTATAATTATTAAAATTTTCTTATAATTATCCTATTGGTTTTTTCATCAATATTCAATTAATTAATACTAAACCTTGGCTCTGATACCACTTTTATCACGACCCAACCCGAGACTTGAAATTAAGCAAGGCGAATACAAACAGTCGGACGAGGTGAATTAAATTTTCTATATTAATCAACAATTTAACTGATGAAAGAGTCACTAATCAAATTAAATTAAAGCATTACAATTAAAAATTAACTCATTGATGGTTGTCTGCATCTTCCATAAATATTTTTTGTCTATCGCTTATATTTTAATTATTTAATTAAACCTAAAAAATTAGTTAAAACAAATGTGAGCTAAACAAGTCAGTGAATACGTATATTTTTAAACTGCAACAATACAAAGAAAAGAAATAAAACTATGCATGTCAATTAAGCTTCTTTATAAATCAATATAAAAATTTGACATGCTATTCAAAGAAGTTTATATCAATATCATATTAATATCATTTTATTTCTATACAACCGTCACAGGAGACCGTCTAAAAATTGTGTCAATTAAGACACAAAAATATCAATATCATTTTTCATTTAAGTGCACGGATACATTAATATTCCCTCACTAGCATCATCAGGGGTGTTTCATCATAGTCAATCATGCACATAAAAGTAGTCATCATTAACTTTTGTATTCATTGCATTCAATTCAACAAACTATATAAAAAATACACCAAATGTATGAGTAAGTAGCTACAACATCCATAATGACATGACCAATAGAGAAAAGAATATCTCAATCAAAATAAAGCACACAAATATCATCAACTACAAGCATATTTGAGAATAAACAAATTATTATCATTGTTTAAAAGTATAAGTACTCATCACGATGTTGTCAAATGTGTTGTTTGTCTTAACATCAATTCTTCTAAAATTGAAATCCTAAATCGTGTAAATTTTAATTATTAATAAGCTATTATCTTTTCATTACTCAAGTGTTAAATTTGGATTTATGTAATCACACTTAATTTCTACTCTCTCTCTCTCTCTCTCTCTCTCTCTCTCTCTCTCTATAT